AATAAGCTTTTCTCAGCCAGCAGAGAGGTCAAAATATGCAGTAATGCAAACTCAGTCAGAGACACAGATTTTCACTTGCAACTTGCTTTAACATGTTTAACAGTGCATGAAATGTTATCTAAAATAAAAAGAATGATGATTTTTAGTGGCTGAGACTGTTTTTATCACTTTCTGTATTGGACCTTGAAAATGAGTTTTTTTCAGCCAGCAGAGAGGTCAAATCAAGCAGTAATGCAAACTCAGTCAGAGACACAGATTTTCACTTGCTACTTGCTTTAACGTGTTTAACAGTACATGAAATGTTATCTAAAATAATAAGAATGATGATTTTTAGTGGTTGAGACTGTTTTTATCACTTTCTGTATTGGACCTTGAACATGAGCTTTTCCCAGCCAGCAGAGAGGCCAAATTAAGCAGTAATGCAAACTCAGTCAGAGACACAGATTTTCACTTGCAACTTGCTTTAACATGTTTAACAATGCATGAAATGTTGTCTAAAATAAAAATAATGATGATTTTTAGTGGCTGAGACTGTTTTTATTACTTTCTGTACTGGACCTTGAAAATGAGCTTTTTTCAGCTAGCAGAGAGGTCAAATCAAGCAGTAATGCAAACTCAGTCAGAGACACAGATTTTCACTTGCAACTTGCTTTAACATGTTTAACAGTGCATGAAGTGTTATCTAAAATAAAAAGAATGATGATTTTTAGTGGCTGAGACTGTTTTTATCACTTTCTGTATTGGACCTTGAAAATTAGTTGTTTTCAGCCAGCAGAAAGGTCAAATCAAGCAGTAATGCAAACTTAGTCAGAGACACAGATTTTCACTTGCTACTTGCTTTAACGTGTTTAACTGTGCATGAAATGTTATCTAAAATAAAAAGAATGATGATTTTTAGTGGCTGAGACTGTTTTTATTACTTTCTGTATTGGACCTTGAACATGAGCTTTTCCCAGCCAGCAGAGAGGCCAAATCAAGCAGTAATGCAAACTCAGTCAGAGACACAGATTTTCACTTGCAACTTGCTTTAACATGTTTAACAATGCATGAAATGTTGTCTAAAATAAAAATAATGATGATTTTTAGTGGCTGAGACCGTTTTTATTACTTTGTGTACTGGACCTTGAAAATGAGCTTTTCTCAGCCAGCAGAGAGGTCAAAATAAGCAGTAATGCAAACTCAGTCAGAGACACAGATTTTCACTTGCAACTTGCTTTAACATGTTTAACAGTACATTAAATGTTGTCTAAAATAAAAAGAATGATGATTTTTAGTGGCTGAGACTGTTTTTATCATTTTCTGTATTGGACCTTGAAAATGAGCTTTTCTCAGCCAGGAGAGAGGTCAAAATAAACAGTAATGCAAATTCAGTCAGAGACACAGATTTTCACATGCAACTTGCTTTAACATGTTTAACAATGCATGAAATGTTGTCTAAAATAAAAATAATGCTGATTTTTAGTGGCTGAGACTGTTTTTAACACTTTCTGTATTGGACCTTGAAAATGAGCTTTTCTCAGCCAGTAGAGAGGTCAAAATTAGCAGTAATGCAAACTCAGTCAGAGACACAGATTTTCACTTGCAACTTGCTTTAACATGTTTAACAGTGCATGAAATGCTGTCTAAAATAAAAAGAATGATGTTTTTAGTGGCTGGGACTGTTTTTATTACTTTCTGTATTGGACATTGAAAATAAGCTTTTCCCAGCCAGCAGAGAGGTCAAATCAAGCAGTAATGCAAACTGAGTGAGAGACAAAGATTTTCACTTGCAACTTGCTTTACATATTTAACAGTGCATGAAATGTTGTCTAAAATAAAAAGAATGATGATTTTTATTGGCTGAGACTGTTTTTATCACTTTCTTTATTGGACCTTGAAAATGAGCTTTTCTCAGCCAGCAGAGAGGTCAAATCAAGCAGTAATGCAAACACAGTCAGAGACACAGATTTTCACTTGCAACTTGCTTTAACATGTTTAACTGTGCATGAAATGTTGTCTAAAATAAAAAGAATGATGATTTTTATTGGCTGAGACTGTTTTTATCACTTTCTTTATTGGACCTTGAAAATGAGCTTTTCTCAGCCAGCAGAGAGGTCAAATCAAGCAGTAATGCAAACTCAGTTAGAGACACAGATTTTCACTTGCAACTTGCTTTAACATGTTTAACAGTACATGAAATGTTGTCTAAAATAAAAAGAATGATGATTTTAAGTGGCTGAGACTGTTTTTATAACTTTCTGTATTGGACCTTGAAAATGAGCTTTTCTCAGCCAGCACACAGCAAATTTCGAAGTGTTATTTTCACTCTCAAAGTGTGAAAATTAACACTTCTTCAGTGTTTATATAGGTCCACACTAAATCGAGTTAAATTTACACTTGAAAAAGAGTAACTTTTTTTACACTTGCATAGTGTTAAAAAAAAGCACTGTTAGTGTTAATTTAACACGGCGTTTTAAACTCCCCTTCCATATTTGCACGGAATTAATGTGTTAAAACTACACTCTCAGTGTTAATAGCTTAACACTAACAGTGCCCTTTTTAACAGAAATAAGGTTCATTGTAGTGTTCATATAGACTTAGGTTTTTATTTAAATGTATTTTAGCCATATAAATTGTTTTCTGCATAACAGGAGAGTGCATTGATCATTTAAAAAAAGTCAAAACAATGTACAAGTTGAATTTTTTTTATTTTTAACAATGCATCTTAAATGTAAGTTAAACCAACATAAACAAAGGTACAACATATTCACTATTATCTGATCCATATGAACTCTGCAGATCAAATGGCCTGTAGAACTTCAATTCACTTGCTTTTATAAGTTCACCCAACTCACAGTATCTCTGTACTTTAAATGCATGATGATGCTCTGAGAAATGTTCTGTCAAAAGCTTGTCAGCAATGAAATATACAGTGTTGTTAACTAAAAGTATTTTCCGAATCTGACTAAATACAGGAATTTCATTCTCAATTTCATTGCATATAAGGAGGTCCAGCCTATATTCAGTCCCATCAATCTTAACCCAGTTCATGGAACACATGCTTGTTTCTATGGGGTTTTGCATCATTCTAGCCAACTTCTCACCTTCATCAATTTCATCCCAACAGAATTTTTTCATTGGGCCACACTCAACTTGGTTTAAAGGAGTTGTTTCCCAAAGATAGCCAATTGACATCTGATGATTTTTTGCGAGAGATTTTGTAACATTTTTGAAATTTTTTAACATATTTTTAAAAACTTTGTGTTTTGCCTCAAACCTCATACTCCACATGTGCACTAACGGACCAATTTTTCGAATGCAGGCAGGGTAATGCGTCATAAAATGATGTTTGGGCAGCAAGTTTTTGTGTGGGTACAACTCTTTGAATAATTCATGGTGTTCAGATATCAAATATTTTAAAAGAACAGTCATGCCTTCTGAAATGCTAGGGGAAAACACTAGATTTAAAATCTGAAGTAAGAGCAAAAGTAAAAGCCAATTCTTGTCTCCAATAGGGACAACATCACCAAATAGTAATGGAATGTTTTTGATGAGACAAAGAGCCTGGATAGAATTAAGTCCGATGCTATTTCCGCTGTGCTCCAAGTTCACTTTTGTAGGACGATTTTTTCTCTCCAAATATCCATAGTCAAATGAATATATCCTAGACAGCAATTCACTTTGGGTTACAAATTTTTCAGACAGATTCTCAAACAGCAGTTTCATTTCAAATTGTGCAACTCCTTCAAGGAGATCATGCATCACATCAACAGAATAGTTGTGGCACACATGAAAATACCGTAAACTATTCAGTGTTGAGGTTCTTTTGAGGCCATGTGTTGACTTGAGTTGAGGGTCAGATTCCAACTCTCTGCAGTGCTGTTCATAAACAGCACGATCACGCAAAACAACCCTATGATCATCCTCACTGTAAACAAACTGCACATCATCTTTTTTAGTCAAACATAAACGACAAAAGTAGTGGCCACTAAAAGATTCTGTAAAACCAAGGATTGAGTGCATCCCCAAGTTGTCTCCAGTGACTTGACATATTGTGCCATAAACTCTTCTTGTGGACATTGGCAATTCAATACCATCTGTCTCTAGTATCTTTATGTCTCGAATCAGTGGTTCCAGGATTGGATCAAACCCATACCTTTTCAGGTCTTGTGCATGAAACAGCGCTATCAAATGTATATTCATGAGTCTTGAATTCACTTTTGGGGGCAAATTTCTCACTACAAAATAAAGAGCACCAACTTTGTGTACACCACGTTTAGAGCCTAGAGGGTTTGCGGTTTCAAATTCGTCAAAGTACACCTGGATCTGTAAGGCATTTGGATATTTAGAGAACAATGGATGATTATGGAAGTAACTTCCATCACAAAAGTCTTCAAAATGTGATGTCTGTCTTCCTGTAAATTCCTTTAGCAGTTTACATACATCTGCATTTTGACACATGAATTTCAGCGTTTCCAAAATTGGGACATAAACATATGTGTCTTTTACTGGGACCTGATCATAACATCCTGTTGTTTTGTTTCTCCTATTGTCATATCTCATGCCAAGCATAATTTCTACAGGATCTACAACACCCCATTTGTCAGTGAAATAACTAGCTCTTTTAGTTTCCGTGTTAAACAGAGTAAAGGGGTTTTCAAAGTTATCCATACTATTTTCGACTGCTGATCTGTCAGGGTTATTAAGAGGAATTACAGACATTACATCTTGACGAGTTTGGTTATGTAGTTCTGTGGTGAGTTCCTCAAGCTCTGAAACAACCGATGCTACCAAGCTATTGGCTACTCCGCTGCACTGTAGTTTGGCCACAATAGATGCACATATATCTGCCGTCTCTCTCCTTGAAACAGTGAAATTATTCTCAACAGTCTCAATGAGATCAACTTGGGAATCACTCTCTCCAACAAACAAAGAACTTGATTGATCGGGACAAACATTTTGTGCTAACATTTCACTGGAAGGTGAATTACATGCTGCACTAACATCAGTAACATGAGTGCTGTTCAAATGCTTTCGAAAACCAGAGTATGTACAGAACTGTCGACAACAGCCTTCCTGTGCACATAACAACTTAAACTTCAGTGAAGGATAAAAACTGTGTGAGAGTCTTAAATGAGAAATTAAAGAGGTGCTGCTTGCATGCAAGCTTTGGCAACAAAAACACTTTAACATTTAGTTTAAAATCTTTGCACGCAGTTCTTTTACCCTGGGTGACTCGCTGGTAAGTCCAACATCAATGTTGTAGACTGTAGTCTGCAAAAAGGTGAAGATGTTGACAAGTGCTTCCTCATACGTCAAGTTGAACACGTAGTGGATTTTAAAGAGTTCATCAACGGCACTCAAGGAGCTGGTTCCTGCACAAGGAATGAGATGTTTGTCCATAACCACATAGAAATTGTCGATCCTCCCCTTGATCCTTCCTGTTCCAAGTAGATATGGCTGGTGGCCTTCCCTCTTACTTAGATGGCCTTCAATACTGGTGCAAGACTGCATTAAAACAAAAAACAACAATAAATGCAGGAAACCAGTTAGGATATTTTCATTCAACTTTTGTTAATAAAAAAACACACTAAATATAAAACCAAACCACAAAAAAAAACTTCACCCAAAGTGCAAAAATAAAAAAAGTCTCCATATCCCTCATTGTGTAGTAGTGTGAAACGAAATTAGTTATTTTTTACCACAAAGAATTAAAAAAAGATTTGAATACACCAAGTCAATCCAAGATATAACTTACTTTCTTCATCACAATCTAAACGAAGAATTGTGTAAAAATCCAAGTGCTGCAAGTTAACAGCATTTAAGTGAATGCACACATTTTTATAAGTTTAAAAAAATGTAAGTGTGACATTATGGTTAACAAAACTAAAAATAACAATTAAAAGACTTAAAGTCTTGTGAATTTTACCTTATGGAAATGCACAAGTCTTTCAACGGCCTCTGTTGGACTAATCTTAGTCCTCTTTCTCCCTGAAGAAGGAGGTAGGAGATGCAACAGGAGTAGGACAGCTGACATATCACTATCCCAGTCTGAATTAATGATAGTAAAACAAATAAGACATTAATATTACAATACAACATGCACACATATGTTCTTAAGGCCCCCAAATACAAAAAAAAAAAAACTAAAGCAAATTTAAACTACAAAATCCTCAAATTGTACCATTTTCAGATCCTTGTCCCTCTGTTGAATTGATAAGACCACGAATTTCTGCAGTTGAAGTTAGAGATTTGGCCTCATTGATGATCTTGTGCTTAAATGAGGTCTCCCATCTCTCAAGCAACTTGTTGGATGTTTCAGCATTGAACAGCAAACCAAAGTCTTGATTTATCTATAGAAGAAGATATTAGATTAGAAGCTGACTCGTCACACTTTAGATTCTAACACCAAAGATTTTTTTGTTGCTTGATAAACTTATAAGTCATGATCATGCACAAATGTAAATGTTTTTGACGTAGTTCTGAAAACTACTACAATGATGTTTAAGGGGTAAGTGTTAGCATGTATCAAATCTGTGACTAAGGCCAAATAGTAATAATGTGCAGAATTAATTATTTACACTTGATAAAAATATATATAAACACTCATTAACACACAAACACATTTAAAACCAAAAAATAATTCATATTTACCAATCCTTTCACATCCAAAAATCTTGGAAAGATGTTGAGGATGTCAGCTGATTTTTTAGGATCATGCACCAGTTCTTGTCTATGCTTAAAGGTTTCCTTCATTTTTAGCAAAACTTCACTTTCATCAGCTGTGTGGACAAAAAAAGAAATTGCCTCCCTGCATGCATCCCCTTCAAGTTGTTGCCCAGTGTCTATCCTTCGTTTGAGACTTGGTCCTCCAACTTCAGATACCTCCAAGCGAACACGTTTTGGGTTCTTCCTTGATAAAGTTTTAAGGCGCCAGGCAATGAAACCTGTTCCCTTTTCCGGATCGTAGAAATGTTCCTGTAAGAGACAAGAAAAAACATTTAAGATGTGTATAATCTTAATATATAATACAACATTTAACTGTATGACATAAAACACTAAATAAAAAAAGCCACAAACCTTTAAATAATTAAAACAGACGAACATGTTTGTGTTAAGTATACTAAGACAAATTCTTACATAGCCTTTTGCTGAAAACGGGTCTCTCAGGCTGGGAAAGAGAGAAATAATACCCAAGGCATAAGTCTCCCGTTGCTTGCGGGTGGGAATTCTCCTAAAAATCAGTAAAATACTTGATTAAGGACAGTACTTAACCTGCTAAAACAATGTTTTAATGAAATCTTACCCATGAATCTCTGTCATGTGACTGACAACAATATTAACCAGTTGCCGTCTAGTGCTGTGCTTTAAAGTTTTTGTGGCCTTGTATTCATCAAGCACTTCATCACCACCAGATTGCTTTTCCAAAGCATCTTGGACAATCTGATAAAGTGACCACAAAATGTAATATTTGTGAAATAATAAAAGTGAATTTTTATATCACCAAATTAACTATAACAAACAACATATGCATATACCCGTTTTGCCCTTTCAGCATCTACCATCAAGCACCTGCTGGCCCTTGTCATTTGATTCTGCATTGGTTGCTCTGGATCATCATGATCCGTAGAAGAGATTGAAACTGTATCAGTACATGTGCTGGCTGTTGATGATCTTGTGGGTGAAATCACTGAAAAAAAAATTATAAATTACCCTTTACAGTATATTTCTTTTATATTTCCTTAAATCAATATACCTTTTATTTCTATGTTATTAAACAGCGCTTTACAAATAGCCTTTACTGTACAATCATTCTAAATGTTTTCTTCCTTTTTAGACAGACTATTTTGACCAACTTTTCATCACTCGGCATAATGTGAACTCACTGTTAGGTTCAAATATTAAACCAGACAAATGCGTGACAATATTCAAGAAATATATAAAAACCCTTAATTTCTGTACACAATTCACTGTACAGTAGGCTCTTCTATGGGTTTTACAGTTCTCTTTTAAGTCTTTCTACTTAATTTTCCCTGTTCTAAACTATAATATTGCAAAATAGAGGGCTTTAAAGAATGTCCATAATTTAATTGAATATTTACCCTCAGGCAGGCCAGCAGACATATTTTCTTCCAAGCATCTTACAGTTAAGCATACATGTGGACTGCTTTCCATTAACTCGTGGAAGATGTCCTCTTCTACATTAGTGTCCGTGTCATCAAAAACTTGAAGATCTGCAGTTGTTGGTAATCCAAATTTGCTTTTCACTGAAATAAATAAATAAATTATAGACTCAAAACTTTAATAAGCACATTTCTGAACTGCACAATTTTAAACTTACCTTCACTGATAAAATATTGGAATGTAAAATCAGTAAGCAATTTTACATATTTTTTCACTCCTTGATATTGAACTTTCACCAACATGATGGAAGCTGTATAAAATACATATATCACTTAATTAATCAAGAGAACCCATCTCACAAACTAGACATTAGTAAAATTAAATCACTTTTATTTCAATGTGATATAGAAGCTGGTGTTATTATAATTAGTACATAGAGAACACATAAGTTTTTTAATCACATTCAATTTTTTGATTGATTTTTGTTTTAGTTTTTGTATTGAGGGTTTTGAATACAATGTATAGTTAGACATTATAGTTAGCAAAGTAGTAGTATAGAAGAATTATAAGTTACGTCTACAAAAGCACATTGATTAAAAACACGAGAATAACAATGTTAAGTCTAACTTTAAGGAGTTCTTACAGTTCTACTTACAAATGTCAGGTCTTCATACAATGTAATATTATATTGAACAGCACCACTTTTGCATATTTATACTATGCGACTACCTTAAAATCGAAAACCGGTGTCTCCCGTTCGTCTCTTCTGAGTTTAGCTGCTTCGATCGTTCTCACTGGAGCTTAGCTTCCTCTTATGGCGAAGATATCACTATTCGACTCGTGCTCATCATTATCAGTCCTTTACACAACAGTTCTGTCAGTGTATTGTTACAGTGACTGAATAAATCGAAATACTGTTTTACCTTCAACCAGGCGGCGTGTCAGACAGGTTATAAAGTAAGCAATTTGTGGATTTGTGTTTACTTGAAAAAGCGAGCCGTTCAAATGATTCAGTTCGGTTAAGTGAACTGAATCGACCGGTTGAAAAGACTCATTTATGCATCATCGGCTATCCCCTCTTGCTAACAATCGAGACTAACTCTTTTACAGCGACTGTATTTTTGCGTACAAATCGAAATACAATTTTACTTTGAATCAGACAGAGTCTCAGACAGGTTATAAAGAGAGCGATTTGTGGATAAGTTTTCAATGTTACCGAATAAGCGAGCCGTTTTAAATGATTCCGTTCGATTAATTGAACTGATTCGATCGGTTCACTAATATGAGCCGGTTTAAAAGATTCATTTGTAATCCGGCTAACGTTACCCCTCTTGCTAACAATAACCTCTGTTTTTACAGCGAGTCTATTTTTACATGTTTTAAATGTAATATGAAAATCAGATCTGTTCACTTGAAACGTATATTCGCTGTTTCATGTAAAAGAACAAAAGAAAGCGAGTGCATGCTGCCCGCGACTCCATGCGGCTCGCGCCACAAATCACTGAACATGAATAATTTAGTTCATTAACTTGTTACACCGAAGCTATGAAGTTCAACTAAGCCTTCACAGACGCCGCTTTACAGCTATTTTTTTAGAAAGTTAAATTCTAAACTACATAGGTTTGGAGAATGTAAGATTAACGGTGCTAACGTTAAATGCTCATCTGGCCATTCTGCGTTCATTTCTAGCGCACGTAGGCTAGCCACAACAAAGGGAAACGCGATGACAGTTAAATTATCAGGTTAAATTAAGTATAACCGCAAATTTCTAACAACGCAAAACCCCGAATCAAATGCAAACACTGGTTCAAACTGTTAAATGTTTGTCTTTACCTTTATTTTCCTGCTAACCAACTTGTCTCGTGGCTCCCGTGATTGTCTGTCGTGTAAAAATTGACAAGTGGTTAAAATTAGAACTTGAAAACCCGGTTAAAAAATGTACAATAGCTAGTTAAACATGAAGCAAGTGTAGAATTGTATTGAATATTTGTGATTAAATAAATTGTATACCTGTTTGAAAACTGCTCTCCATGTGCTGTCCGCCATTAATCAAAAAGGAAGTAAAGTGAAGCGACCGGAAATGAAAATAGCACTTATCTAGTGTCAATTATATCAACTCGCTGTAATAACACATACTCTGACCACAGAGTTACACTGCAGGTGTTTATGCCATGTAAATAAACTCAACAAGTAACACTTTTTAACTCAAAAAATTTAACACCTTAAAAACAACTCAAAACAACACTGGAAATTTTGCTGTGCAGAGAGGTCAAATCAAGCAGTAATGCAAACTCAGTCAGAGACACAGATTTTTACTTGCAACTTGCTTTAACATGTTTAACTGTGCATGAATTGTTATCTAAAATAAAAAGAATGATGATTTTTAGTGGCTGAGACTGTTTTTATTACTTTCTGTATTGGACCTTGAAAATTAGCTTTTCTCAGAAAGCAGAGAGGTCAAAATAAGCAGTAATGCAAACTCAGTCAGAGACAAAGATTTTTACTTGCAACTTGCTTTAACATGTTTAACAATGCATGAAATGTTGTCTAAAATAAAAAGAATGATGATTTTTAGTAGCTGAGAGTGTTTTTATAACTTTCTGTATTGGACCATGAAAATGAGCTTTTCTCAGCCAGCAAAGAGATCAAAATAAGCAGTAATGCAAACACAGGCAGAGACACAGATTTTCACTTGCAACTTGCTTTAACGTGTTTAACAGTGCATGAAATGTTGTCCAAAATAAAAAGAATGATGATTTTTAGTGGCTGAGACTGTTTTTATCACTTTCAAGATTGGACCTTGAAAATGAGCTTTTCTCAGCCAGCAGAGAGGTCAAAATAAGCAGTAATGCAAACTCAGTCAGAGACAAAGATTTTCACTTGCAACTTGCTTTAACATGTTTATCAGTGCATGAAATGTTGTCTAAAATAAAAAGAATGATGATTTTTAGTAGCTGAGACTTTTTATCACTTTCTGTATTGGACCTTGAAAATGAGCTATTCCCTGCCAGCAGAGAGGTCAAATCAAGCAGTAATGCAAACTCAGTCAGAGACACAGATTTTTACTTGCAACTTGCTTTAACACGTTTAACAGTGCATGAAATGTTATCTAAAATAAAAAAAGAATGATGATTTTTAGTGGCTGAGACTGTTTTTATTACTTTGTGTACTGGACCTTGAAAATGAGCTTTTCTCAGCCAGCAGAGAGGTCAAAATAAGCAGTAATGCAAACTCAGTCAGAGACACAGATTTTAACTTGCAACTTGCTTTAACATTTTTAACAGTGCATGAAATGTTATCTAAAATAAAAAGAATGATAAGTTTTAGTGGCTGAGACTGTTTATCTAAAATAAAAAGAATGATGATTTTTAGTGGCTGAGACTGTTTTTATTACTTTGTGTACTGGACCTTGAAAATGAGCTTTTCTTAGCCAGCAGAGAGGTCAAAATAAGCAGTAATGCAAACTCAGTCAGAGACACAGATTTTCACTTGCAACTTGCTTTAACATGTTTAACAGTGCATGAAATGTTATCTAAAATAAAAAGAAGGATGATTTTTAGTGGCTGAGACTGTTTTTATAACTTTCTGTATTGGACCTTGAAAATGAGCTTTTCTCAGCCAGCAGAGAGGTCAAATCAAGCAGTAATGCAAACTCAGCTAGAGACACAGATTTTCACTTGCAACTTGCTTTAACATGTTTAACAGTACATAAAATGTTGTCTAAAATAAAAAGAATGATGATTTTAAGTGGCTGAGACTGTTTTTATAACTTTCTGTATTGGACCTTGAAAATGAGCTTTTCTCAGCCAGCAGAGAGGTCAAATCAAGCAGTAATGCAAACTCAGTCAGAGACACAGATTTTTACGTGCAACTTGCTTTAACATGTTTAACTGTGCATGAATTGTTATCTAAAATAAAAAGAATGATGATTTTTAGTGGCTGAGACTGTTTTTATCACTTTCTGGATTGGACCTTGAAAATGAGCTTTTCTCAGCCAGCAGAGAGGTCAAAATAAGCAGTAATGCAAACTCAGTCAGAGACAAAGATTTTTACTTGCAACTTGCTTTAACATGTTTATCAGTGCATGAAATGTTGTCTAAAATAAAAAGAATGATGATTTTTAGTAGCTGAGACTTTTTATCACTTTCTGTATTGGACCTTGAAAATGAGCTATTCCCTGCCAGCAAAGAGGTCAAATCCAGCAGTAATGCAAACTCAGTCAGAGACACAGATTTTTACTTGCAACTTGCTTTAACACGTTTAACAGTGCGTGAAATGTTATCTAAAATAAAAAAGAATGATGATTTTTAGTGGCTAAGACGGTTTTTATTACTTTGTGTACTGGACCTTGAAAATGAGCTTTTCTCAGCCAGGAGAGTCAAAATAAGCAGTAATGCAAACTCAGTCAGAGACACAGATTTTAACTTGCAACTTGCTTTAACATTTTTAACAGTGCATGAAATGTTATCTAAAATAAAAAGAATGATAATTTTTAGTGGCTGAGACTGTTTATCTAAAATAAAAAGAATGATGATTTTTAGTGGCTGAGACTGTTTTAATTACTTCGTGTACTGGACCTTGAAAATGAGCTTTTCTTAGCCAGCAGAGAGGTCAAAATAAGCAGTAATGCAAACTCAGTCAGAGACACAGATTTTCACTTGCAACTTGCTTTAACATGTTTAACAGTGCATGAAATGTTATCTAAAATAAAAAGAAGGATGATTTTTAGTGGCTGAGACTGTTTTTATCACTTTCTGTATTGGACCTTGAAAATGAGATTTTCCCAGCCAGCAGAGAGGTCAAATTAAGCCGTAATGCAAACTCAGTCAGAGACACAGATTGTCACTTGCAACTTGCTTTAACATGTTAAACAGTACATGAAATGTTGTCTAAAATAAAAAGAATGATGATTTTTAGTGGCTAAGACTGTTTTTATCACTTTCTGTATTGGACTTTGAAAATGAGCTTTTCTCAGCCAGCAGAGAGGTCAAAATAAACTGTAGTGCAAATTCAGTCAGAGACACAGATTTTCACATGCAACTTGCTTTAACATGTTTAACAATGCATGAAATGTTGTCTAAAATAAAAACAATGATGATTTTTAGTGGCTGAGACTGTTTTTATTACTTTGTGTACTGGACCTTGAAAATGAGCTTTTCTCAGCCAGCACAGAGGTCAAAATAAGCAGTAATGCAAACTCAGTCAGAGACACAGATTTTCACTTGCAACTTGCTTTAACATGTTTAACAGTGCATGAAATGTTATCTAAAATAAATAGAATGATGATTTTTAGTGGCTGAGACTGTTTTTATCACTTTCTGTATTGGACCTTGAAAATGAGATTTTCCCAGCCAGCAGAGAGGTCAAATTAAGCAGTAATGCAAACTCAGTCAGAGACACAGATTGTCTCTTGCAACTTGCTTTAACATGTTTAACAGTACATGAAATGTTGTCTAAAATAAAAAGAATGATGATTTTTAGTGGCTGAGACTGTTTTTATCACTTTCTGTATTGGACTTTGAAAATGAGCTTTTCTCAGCCAGCAGAGAGGTCAAAATAAACTGTAGTGCAAATTCAGTCAGAGACACAGATTTTCACATGCAACTTGCTTTAACATGTTTAACAATGCATGAAATGTTGTCTAAAAAAAAAACAATGAGGATTTTTAGTGGCTGAGACTGTTTTTATTAC